GTCGTCGTGAGTACGCTTCCGACTTCCCAAGGCCGACGGAGTCGGATCTGGCATGGAGGAGCGCCTGTTAATCGGTATAATAATTGGTGGCGCTAGTGTCGTAGATCCTTTGGATGGGGGGCTCTCTGTGAGATCAACCACAGCGGCTCTGTCTGTGAGATCGATCACTTGGGGCTGGGCATCAGACAGAGACCTTGCTCCAGGACGTGTAGCTTCCTGGGCATTCTGGCCCAGCCTTGAGTTGGGCAGTCGCGGACCTGTAGGTGCACCAGGCACACCGCGGGGGCTGTCGCGCGTGGCGCTGCTAGTTATCTGTACCTCCTCTTCGGAACTGTCGCTATCATCAAAGTCAAGTGAGATAAAGTCCTCATTTCCCGTGGGGAGCGCGCTTCTGCTTTCCTTTGCCTGAACCCTAGCTTTGCGTATCAGTTGCACAACGTCCTTCTTCTTTGCCTGCCCAGCTTCGGGAGGCGGAAGCGCAGTGTAGGGATCCGGATTCGACCACTTGGGTGTCGAGTTGTCCGAAGCGGAAGCCCCCAAAGTCAGACGGACACGCTTATTGGAAGGTTCCTTTGCTTCGTCCGATTCGTCCCCAGAGATGTCCATTTCAGCTTCTTCGCTATCGGACAGTTCGTCCAAGGCCCTATAGGTCACGCCGGCCTCACTGTCAAAGAGGTCGCGCTCGGGTCCAGTAGGATGCGAGCCGCTCAGCAACTCGCGCTCAGCAGCAACGAAAGGTCGCCGTGGCGGTCGCCCGCCCTGCATTCTCTCGCCTCTACGGTCGCGTCGCGTCCTGTTCTCCCCTTGTCTGCCTTGGCGGCCCCAATTTCCAGGTCTGCCATTGCTGTCATTATTCAGGGGTCCTCCGTGACCATTTCGACCCTGCCTGTCGTCGTGCGGTCGATAGCTATCGTAGGGAGAGTCCTCTACTCCCGGCGGCTTCTCGACGCGAAATGAAAAGTCGCCTTGGGGAGGTCTGAAGTCATTATACTTTCCTGGCGGCGGTGGGTAAGCATCGGCCCGAGGCCTCGTATCTCCATACCGAGAGTCTCTATCTCGACCTTGATAATCATCACGAGTAGAGTAAGAAGGCGGCCGGTAGGAATCTGAGCTATTCGCTTGAGGTGGCGGTCGCGGGGGCAGTGACGGGTGATTGTGCTGGGACGATTGGTATGAGGGTTCATCCCGGCGATCCCGATGTCTGCGCTCCGAGCGCGTCGTCGGTCGCTGTGGAAGAGATGGGGCATCACGGTCGCCGCGATAGTCGCGACGATAGCCGCCTTGGGGCGGGTATCGCGAGTCGTACGACATGTTTACTGAATAAATCGCCGGTCTCTAAAGTCAAGTATGATTCGTAACTGGCATAATGATGCGAGAAAGCCGCCTTGTGTTGCTGGAGGTATTTTTTTTGTTCTTGTGTGGGAAAAGGTCACTTGCAGCCCGATGAGCCGTGTCTGGCAGGCCGTTTAACCGGACTCGGACTAGTGCACGGATAAGGCTCTTATCGAACGCTTCACCCCCGCCACTCAAGTCCCAGGTCCCTGATCTTGGGATCGAAACTGCAGCTATCGTGCAGGTGTACCATAATGGCACTTGAAGATCGTGGTCGCTTTTCTTTAACACTGGCCTGAGGTTGGTATTCCAGCTTCTTTACCTAAGCAGCTGAGGGATAGGATGTGCGAGGTGCTGGGAGCACGACGCATGTACAAGGACCGGCGTTACAGCTGTTTTAGCTGACTGACATGGCTTGGAGCTAAGATCCCCTCACCGACTTGACACAATCTCCTTGTCCCGCTGTTTGAACAACTCGTGAGAGAACTCAACATTAAGTTCAAGCCATGCAGCGCTTCACTCGGAACGATCGGTAAGTCAGCTGTAGTGTACGGTGCATCTGAGGCTACCGCACAATCCGGCCCTTCAGGGCTGGACCATGACGCAGCACCACGTTCGTGACGTCCGAACAACGTACTGGTAGACATAGAATCTGTCCTTCTCGCCGCAACCCTACTTCATCGCGGGCTTCTTTCCCCAGCAGATCTTCCAGCTAGTTTGGCTATACCGGGTGTGGAAATCTGGAAAGTCCGGCGTCGAGCAGAAGGATGTCCCAGCCATGGTGGGCTTCACGCCCTACTACGCGGTTGGAGACTTCTGCATAGCAAGTGAGTGCCGTCAGTTGAAGGGCCCCGGCATATATCACTAGACAATGACTGGTTAGAGGAGGTCCGCGTTTTGTGTTGCTTGGCATTTATAGCAAGATATGCTGTCAAGCGATCATGGTGGTAGGGGGACGCACACGCAGCCAAGGACGGGAATAATTGCATCAGATATATATGATTGAGCAGAAGGCTGCTATCTGGCGACACTAGCACTTGGGGGTAAAGACAGCAATCTCTTCCGTTTCGGTGGCTACAGGTCAGGTCGCCGGTGATCAAGATATTTAAACACCAAAATATCTCATGGATCGTGCCCTAGAGTTTGGAGTGTGGCCTAGACAAACTGGGGAAGCCCAGTTTCCCTCAAGCGTCCTTGCACCTGGCGGGACGGTGAAAGGGGTTATGCAGTCTCCCGCCACTGTCCTGCTGCAGGGACATTGGGCAGAGCTAGAAAGAGGATCCCTCTGGCCTCAAGTCGAGTGCGAGGGGCTCACAAGCTCATCGCTGGGAGTGTTCCACTCTGACTTGGAAACCGAGAACTTGGCTCGAGACCAGGTAATGGTAGAAGGAGAGTGCAAAGCCAAGCGGAACTAGGATAGACACTTGGCTGTCAGAGACACTCGCCGGTTCCGAGGAACGCGCACGTTCGAGCCTGGACCCGGGCTCATTGTACCGAATTGACAGTCCTGCCTGACATCTGGCAGGTGATCTAACAGGTCTGTCAGCCCAGTTTCACGCATGAAAATCGCGAATTGGGTACACTGACCAATTTGCAGACTGGAAAATCCTCCGTTCCTTATATGCACCGACCCTGACCTCCAAGATCAGGGGTAGTCGAGGCCCTCCAAGATGTTATCTCACCATCGTTTCATGAGTCGACACCGAGTCCCGCAGCAAACCTTCGAGCAACCCAGCCAGCTCCATGTTCCTCGTATTCTTGCTTGGTTACCGCAAGCTTCTCGACATGCTCGTGCTTGGCAAAGTTGGCAGCACCGTAGTAGGTACTCGTGATCGGGTTTGCTGGACGAGCCACGCGGACAATGCAGTCGTCGGGCACTCTCTCCAGGATCTCTGTCTGCAGGCGTTGGATAAAGTTGTCAAATAAGGCGTTCCCGCCAACAACGACCATGTTCGCCAATAACCCCGGCCACAAGCCGACTGGCAGGACTGACAAAGACTGCATAACGAGGTCCGCAAGGCCTGGTTGGCGCATTCCGATATCCGGAGGATGGAAGAGCACCTCGGGCACGGCGAAGCGCTCATTGCGAAGCGTGATGATGTCCTCGGTTGAAACTCCACCAGCCAACCTTCGAGCCTTGGATGTAGCGGCAGGCTCGTAGTCTCGGACGACACCATGAAAACGGGTGTGGGAGTCAGGCAGAACGTAGTCTTTCGCTATCCCCGCGCCGGTCAGGTAGCTTTCCCTCCGTTCCCCGCGAGTGCCTTTCCATGTCTTCTCCAGGTCCCCCTTGAAGTCCAGTGACACGTAGCAAGCAGCCTCCTTCATCTCGTTGACGATGTATGTGTCGTTTCGCATGTCAAAGTGGCGAACAGACAGCAGGCGCGTGAGGTAGTTGGTCATAAGCTTCCCACCAACGTCAAGCCTTCGAATCGCCGGGTGTAGCGGGCGACCTTGTAGAATGGGCGTAACCGTGGTGTGAGAGTATCCGGAGTCGACCAGTAAGACGACTTCCGCGGGCAGTTCAACGATCGGATCGGGTGCCCGGGGAGTTCGGAACATGTCTTGTACGTCTTGATACGCATTGAAGGCAGGACCTGTGGGGGTAGTGAGATCAGCATGTGGGCACTGTTCAAGAGATGCAGAAGAACATACCGATACCGCGGTAGTAGCTTGCGAAGCCAAACTCCTCAAACACCATCTGGTCGCAATGGGATTGGAGGGCCGGGAGCGAGTTGGGTTGCTCGGCAAGAACGAGTCTCGTTTCGGAAGGGTCGCATTTCTGCGGTGCCTTATCGTCGAAGAATTCATGATCCCAAATCTCTTTTTGCGCCTCCCAATTCACGACGAAGCCCTTCTCAACTGGCCGGCGGAAAGAAATCTCGCCAAAGTCTTTGCATTTCTCGAGATCCGAGCCGATGTAGACTTTCTTATGCCGGTCGCGCGCAAGGCAGTTCGGGATCACGCGGGGCTCGTCCGTCTTCTCGTCCGTCACGAAGCCGGCCTTGATCGTGTTGGCGCCGTTATCGAGAATGAGGGTCGTCGATGGAGGCACAGGCCCCGCGGACCGAGATTTCCTGCCTCCCACCATATCAGCGGAAGTCGATAACCGTCAAGCCACACGTCAGGCAGAGGGAATCGAATGCGACGCGTGAGACCGTACCCCACGGCTTTTCGCTGCCAGTGCGCAGTCAACGCAGCAGAGCTGGGATGCACGGCCCGTCTCGGCCCGTCTCGGCCCGTCAAACTTTCACGACTCGCACAGAATACAGGCAATGCTGTTTGTTCACTGCTCAGGGTAGCAACAGAAGTCAATTCGGCTGGCCTCAGCAAACTCGCGAATGGATTCTCTGGGTGCACTAAGCGGAATAGCCCTTTTTATTCAGCTGGATCCGGAACGCTTTCCGTGCAAGACGTTTGAGCGGGGTCACTCTTCTTCTGAAGAGGCTACTAATTTCACCGACAGACTGCTCGACTGCCGACGAGCTTATTGTCGGTGATTGAAGCTACGCGAGAAACCTGCGGTCTCTCGTCTCTCGAGGAAGATAAAGCCGAGTTGAAGGTCTACTGGAGACACCCTAGGACTAACTCTCGCGCGTTGATTCCCTTTGGGTGTCGTTGCAGCTCGTTGAAGATCTCACGGGATGAGGTTCGCCACCATGAAGCAAGCCCGATAGCTCAGCTGGTTAGAGCGTCGTACTAATATGTCCAGCGTCGTACTAATATGTCCTCAACGGTCATGTCAAGTAAATGCGAAGGTCAACAGTTCAATCCTGTTATTGGGCATCGCACTTTTTTATACAGCACGAGGGTATTCCCGGAATCACGGGGGTGGAGAGGGGCACTTAATGGGTGTTCCACTTCATCTATAAATTCTTCGGCGCGCCCTAGCCTACTGGCCGACTTAACACGAACAGAATTGTGCAAACCGAACTACATTCTTGTAACTGTCTAGCATGTCAACATTATGGCTAGGGTGAAGTCCAAGGCAGGTATGGGTATAAGACAGAGAGCGAGAGTCTGAACATACAACCCCACACCGTCAAGCTAAACAGCGGCTAACACTTTGAACTTGAAATCCTCGGCAGCAGGCGGTTTCGGACGATAACCCCAATTCGTGAATTCACCACGGTCCTCCGTTAGCGTCGATGGATACTCGTCCCTGAGCCACGCCACCAAAGCGTGGGCCTGAGAAGATACTGTCCAAGACTCGTCACCGTCTTTGACGACGTAAAACGTCTTTCCGTTCGAGGAGAACACGTTGGCCTCGGAGTTGTCGTCACTAGAGGCTCCTTTCGCCTTGGGATCCGTGGCCACTGAGGCACCTTGGCGTTGGGAACGAGTGATGGAATAGTCGATGACATAGAAGCATCGCAGCTTCGGGAAGTGGAACGGGACCCATTTGGGGCCGGCCAGCTCAGGCACGATGACGATGGGGTCTGGTGCCAGTCCGAGGAAGTCTGCCGGTCCGCCCTTGAACGCCGCATCCCATTCCGGTTTGTACTCGATGGCGATCTGCTCCTGGTCTTTCAGCATCGGCAACCAGAACCCAGGCCCCCGACGCGGAGCCAGCCAATATGGCGATCCATCCTCGTAGGCGCGAAACTCCAGGCAGATGATATCCAATTTCTTGTGCAGGTAGAAGCACCCCGGATCTTCCGCGCCATAGTAGCGGACTCCAAACAATGTCCATGCATGCACTTTTTTCTTGCCAAATGCCCGTTCTCGAAGGAGCCGAAGGACAGCGTCTCTCGACTCCCGACATGTTTGCCTGAGATGGTTGGTGAAAAGGTACATAGAGGGGTCGTTCTCGACCCAATTAACTCGCTGGCGCGTCTCGCCCCGAGGTAAGCCCAGCGAAAACGGGAAATCCCACTGGGACGGCCCTTTAATGATCTCATTGTACTCTTTACGGTTCCATGCGTCGACCACGCGGAGGAAATGTATGCACGATGCGGGCCATGCCTGCTCCCAGATCCTATCCCTGATTTCTCGAGGAAAGAGCGGGAAAAGAGGGAAAGCGGTCAACACTTTGTCTCTTTCAGCAGCTTGTGCATTCTCCATCTATACGTTTGACAGAGGATTTCGTTATTTCTCAGGTGTAGCATGCAAACTGGACACCAGAATAGATGGGATTTTGCTCGTCGGTGCTGATATATTGGGCGAACATTCTGAATCACTGCAGCTAGGATATGGATTTGTTAAAATAGTGACAAGAAATGATAGTTTACAATTGTTGTTCTGAATTGAGTGTGAAGTATGTACACAAACAAGAAAAACACTAAGAAAAAGAAGGCAAGGCACCAAACCAGGTGCCTGAAAATGCGTGGAAGAATGGTCTGTCTTTTTATGTATCCGGGACTCTCAATAATCTAGGTATATATAATGTGATGGTAGTGGTCCATGCCTCTTTCCCAAATATCATGAAAAAACATCACAATGGAAGCCACGGCTTTCAGTCCTCTTTACTGTAACTAGTAAAGTGAAGCTCAATATAGAATAATAAGCCTTCACTGTATTTAACGTGGAAGACGCTTTATTCTTCCTTGTTCTTATTCACTGTGAAAGGCTTCTTTTAGTCTCAGGAACTCAGACCACACAGATGAATGGGGCCATTGCTTACTTCATTGAAGCACCATTAAATACACTCATATTTGACAGTAATACACGCGTTGCGAGATGTTCAAGTACATGCATGTAGCCCATGTCCCTGGCTTTGTATGACGATTCTTAATAGTAAACATCACGATCGAGGGCTTCCGCTGCACTTTGGTTCAAACCCCCAACTCACCCTACGCGTATCCAAATCACGTCTGCTCTTGCTGTGACTGAGTCATTCCCGTGTCCCAGCCTCCCCTGGCTCGTGCTAAGCCATTCGCAATCATCTGTTCAATCATCTCCGGGTACTTAACACCGCTTGCCCCCATAACCTTGGCGAACATGCTGGTCTTGGTGAAGTCTGGAATGATGTCCAGCTCGTTGACCCGGAAGCTCATGTCCTCCGTCAGGACGAAATCCACTCGAGCCATGGCGTTGCAGTCCAAAGCTCGGAAGGCCTTCGCCGCAGCGTCCTTCATTCTTGCCCCAACTTCTTTCGGCATGTCTGCTGGCACTTCCAGAACCGTCTCGTTCCCTCCCACGTGTGTATTTCCCCCATTAGTGTACAAGTGGCGTGATTCGGCAGTAATGACTTCGCCGGGACGAGAGATCATAAGCTGGCCTTTCGCGTCTTCCAATACGCCGATTTGAATGTGGCGCCCCTGAATGGCCTCCTCAGCGAGCAACTTGCGGTCATACTGGTAGCCTTTGCTAAGCGCCGGAGCGAGATCGTCCCAGGTAGAGACCTTGGAACTGCCAGCGGATGAGCGACTTCGGGCGGGCTTGATGAAGACGGGTAGGGAGTCGATCCCGGCGTCCACGGCATCAGCAAACGCGACTCCCGGGTTGGTTCTCTCATCGTTTCCAGTAAGTTTAATTGACCGCGGGACTTGTAGTCCGGCTGCTTTCAAAGAATGCCTAGCGATAGTCTTGTCCAGCGCCGCTGTTGAGCGGAGGATGTCAGCCGACCACTGGCACGTGTGCAACTTCTGCTATTCCCTGTACAGAGCCGCCCTCGGCGTCAAGCCCGTGTAATACCGGAAATAGGATGTGAAGTGTGAAGTCCGACAGTCTGATATTAGGTTTTACCGCGACCCAGCGGCCGCGTCCACCAGGAAGGAGGGCGACCTGTACGCCATCGTCACCCGAAGGTACAATAATCGTATCATCCATAAACGGGCACAAAACCCATTGGCCCTGGGGCGTTACAAAGATAGGGGCAACGTGGTATCTTTTTCGATCCAGAGCCTCTATCACGTCCTTGGCTAACTGGAGCGAGGTCTTTTGTTCCGTTGAGCGGCCCCCAAAGAGCACGGCGACGTGTACTTTCTCGGAGGACGTCGTCTTCGAAGATCCAGAACAACTTGAACTAGGAGAAGAAGCCATTTTGAGCGGTAGCAACAAGGATCAGGGGAAGAAAGTATCAGTCAGGAAGGACAAAGACGAACGAGAAGCCAGACAACAACAAGATCTCTGCTGGCTTCGAACGTGGGCGGCACCAGTCTGCGAAGTGTTAGTTTTTGAGCCGTCCCAGACCCACCGTGCAAGGCCGGCTTTGTAAAGTGACTGTTTACACCTGATAAGTAACGATTTATTAGCATGTGCTTTGACTTCGTACCTTACCCATCAACACGCAGAACTCCACTCAGCAACTCAGCCTAGTCCACTGCCTACATGTAAGGTACCACACCTTAGCCTCAAACAGAGAACAATAAGAAAAACCAAATCTTTCCCTTCTATTGCGTGTTTCTAAATACCAGCCGACTGTTGGCCATCTGTAATTCGCTAAATCCGCACAAAAAACAGGTATACCTTTACTTCGGGCAGTCTATACAGGCATTTAGAAGCCAAGTCCGTTTATCTGTCTCGGTCTAGCCAAGTTGCACTGCTGCTAGTAATGTGCTGACCCGGAACCACGAAGACCCTAAGAAAGTACCGCAAGCACTAATCAGAGCTCCAACAGAGGACAGCATTGGCTAACTGTCATTAACAAGTCCTGATGCCGCCTATTAGACCGCTTCCATAGAGTATACATGGTTGAGACCAAAGTCGCCACCCCCTCCAGATCATAGACGTAGCTCTGGCACATGAAGACCGCGCAGTCAGCGAGCTAAGGGTTAACGGAAAATCACATGTTCATTGACATGACCAGACAAATTTGACATTTAATGACATGGATTGCACCCTCACAAACTGTTTTTGAGTCAAGACATCTTTCTCTCATTTGGCATCCCCTGTCAAAATCTTAATCTTTGACACCTTCAACCTCTCCGCCTCCCCATTAAGCGTGTTAATTTCGTCTTGAACATAGGGAATGCCATCCTTTAATCTCTCCTCTTCCCTCAACTGCTCGATCTCGCCAGGGAAATAGATTCTCTCGACGCCATGCATCTTGTCCGAACCGACAACTTTCTGGTACAAGACGTCCATGCGCTCTCTGAACTCGTCTGAACTCATAAAGAGATCCGGCTTGATCGCAACGAAGAAATGCCCCACATCGCCCGGCTTCGACATGTCATAGGGGCCCGTGACGCCGCCCGCGAATGCGGAGCCAGACAGCACACCGGAAAAGACGTCCATCATGATAGCCAGCGCCGAGCCCTTCGGTCCACCCATGGGCAGCATGACGCCCCCATGCAGCGCCTTCTCAGGGTCATCAGTCGGTTTGCCCTCGCCGTCAAGCGCCCAGTCGGTGGGGATCTTTTCGCCGCGTCTGAGGGCCTTGTAAATCTTGCCGCGCGCGGCCACTGACGGCGCCATGTCCAGGATGAACGGCTTCGAGTTTTGACCACCCGGTGCTCCACACGCGATGGGCGAGACGCCCATCAGCTGAGACCTGCCGCCCCACACGGGCAGGGCAGGCGAGGAGTTCGTAAAGACGAGGCTCATCATGCCCGCGTCGACGGCCTGGCGCACTATCCAGGCCGACATGCCAAAGTGATTGCTGTGCTTGACGCTCACCATGCCGATGCCGAACGTGCGTGCCATGGAGATGGCCGCGTCCATGCCCGTACGTGCCGCTGGGAATCCGAAGCCGTTGTGGCCGTCTACCTGCGCAACCACAGGCGTCACCTGCGTGAGAGTCGGCTCAGCTTTGGGGTCCAAAACGCCATTGCGGACTCGTGCCAGATATGACGGGATGCGGTTGATGCCGTGGCTTTCGACTCCGCGAAGGTCGGCTTGGACTA